CCAATACTAGAGTAGGTGTTCAGTCAACATTTATGAACTTAATCAGGAACTGAGTCTAGCAGAAACCAGTGAAGAAGTAAAAGAGACCTCCTCTTTGCTTGCCACATTATGAATTGGGTTACAGCAATAAGCAAGTAAATAAAAGAAAAGGTATAGCCGTCCCTCCTGACTGTTCAACCACCCGGCAGGGCAGAGGAAATGGCCTGCGCCAGGGAAGAAGCACAAAGAGAAGCAAAGCTGGACAGGGCGAAAAGACTGGTAGGCTTACACCCTGACTAAGATGCATAATCCCCTGGGATGCATAGTTTTCCCTGACCACACTGGTAAACCACATACTCTCACATCTAGTGGGGCCATACCCTCAAGTCCCAGCATTCTGGATCTACTTCTACATTCATCTAATGGAATTCTGCTTAACATCTTCTACAGCCATCCTGCCCTGACCAAAGATAAGCAGGACTATAGTCATTTTGTTTACCTTCTCTATCCATATAAACACATAAAATACATGAACGAACATGTAAGAACCTGATCTTCTAAATATAAACAACAACAACAAAATGTGTTCAGAGAATTGTAAGCAACATCAGAATGTTTACTCATTCAATATTTATTGAGTGTGTACTATAAGTAGACACCATGGTAGAGTTAGGGACACATTCTAGAAAGACACAGAAGAGTTCACAATCTCTTGGGAGATATATATAATAATTTACAAATCACTTATATATTACATAGTGATAACAAATATATACATATGGTTGCTTTATCTAGAATGCAGCTCTCAATGAACACTGTTGAAAGTATAGACAGATTTCTGTGTCTTTCTTGGTCTTGTCTCAAGACATAGCCTTGTAAGCAAGTTTATCTGTAGGATAACAGCTACCCTATCATTCAGTATAAAAGTCACAATTCAACCCTCAAACAAGTGTTTTCCAACCTGTACCATAATTGTGGCGTGGTCAAAGAGTGTTGGTAATAAGGCACTCAAAGCCAAGTCTACTATTGCATTGCTTCTCCAAAGGTGAGCTTGTACAAGGACAATTTCCTTTAGCATTATCCATTTGTTAAAAAAGAGGTCACAGAAATGTGCTTGTGTTTGCCAGAGATATATTTATTCTCTATCATAGCTTTAAAACCATACTAAAAATAATTTTTAAATGTCATTTAAAAATATAACCCAAGAAGCCAACCTGAAAAGGCTACATACTCTTATGATTCCAAATATATGACTTTCTGGAAAAGGCAAAACTAGGGAAACAGTAAAAAGATCAGTGGTTGTCAAGGGCTAGGAGAGAAGGAAAGAATGAATAGGTGGAGCACACAGGATTTTTAGGGCAGTGAAACTACTCTGTATGATACTGTAATGGTGGGTACAAGTCATCATACATTTGTCAAAACCCATAGAATGTACAACATCAAGAGTGAACCTTAATGTAATCTGTGGACTTTGGGTGATAATGATGTGTCAATGTGAGTTCATTGACTGTAACAAATGCACCCTTCTGATGCAGGATGTTGATGGTGGGGGAGCAAGTGTGTGTGTGTGTGTGTGTGTGTATGTGTGTGTGTGTGTGTGTGTGTGTGTGTGTGTGTGTGAGGGCAAAAGGTATATGGGAACTCTCCATACTTTCCACTGTCTTGCTGTGAACCTAAAACTGCCCTAAAAAATAAAGCCTAATTAAAAAATACTTTTAGGGTTTCCCTGGTGGCACAGTGGTTAAGAACCCGCCTGCCAGTACAGAGGACACAGGTTCGAGCCCTGTTCCGGGAAGATCCCACATGCCACGGAGCAACTAAGCCCGTGCGCCACAACTACTGAGTCTGCGCTCTAGAGCCTGCAAACCACAACTACTGAGCCTGCGTGCCACAACTACTGAAGCCCACATGCCTAGAGCCCGTGCTCCACAGTAAGAGAAACCACCCCAATGAGAAGCCTGCGCACTACAACGAAGAGTAGCCCCCGCTTGCCACAACTCGAGAAAGCCCGCACCCAGCAACCAAGACCCAAAGCAGCCAAATAAATAAATAAATAAACAAAATTTTTCCAAATAAATAAAATAAAAATACTTAAAAAAAATATAACCCAATAATGATTATTGTCAAAAACTGTACAACTAGTGTTTTTTTCCCCTTTGGGCAGTGACAAACAGAAGCAGACACAGCAAGTTTTCCACAAGGCCTTTTGCTGTAGAGGAGTCTGTGCACCAAAATGTCAAGGCTCACACTCCTCAAATGATAAGTTTTTCATTTACTCCCATCATTCACCAGGCCCATTTTGGAACCTCAGCCAGAAATCTCCCTCTCTGCTAGCAGGAACAAAAAGCTCCAGGCCACACACAATAGTTGGTAAAATCTAGAAGAAGTTGGCACTGTTCAAGCTGCCTCAGTGAAACCAATGCTCTAAGGATCCCTATACCCCCAGGCCTAATCCAAAGATAAGTTGTTTTAACAGATTAGAAAAAAAAGTTGAAGGAGAGTCATAACAGAAAAACCTAGGGTCCCCAGGCACCAGTTTAAGACTCTCTGCAGCAGCTCTGCTTTGGTTGATTAAAGCAGGAGTTGGAGGCCCCTGAGAGCCAATTAAAAAAGGAAGTTAGGATGAGGGAGGGAGAAATGATTCCAGCAACTACCAATTAAAAGTGAATGGATCCCACAGCACGAAGGGATGGTGATTCAAACTGTTGCATCAGCCAAGTTCCAGCACCAACTCCCTGAACATGAAGAGAAAGCAAAGGGGAGGGGTGAAGGAGGGGGGCAGAGGTGTCCCACACTCTGGCAAGCTTCCACTGCTTATCTCAAGTGAATACACACCTGACAATTAAAGCGCAAGTGGAATCTCTTGATTAGCCGTGCACAAAACCCCAAGACCATGCCATAAGAGGGACAGGACCTGTAGGCAGGGAAACATGCCCCAAAGTTAGGCAGGATGCTGCTGACACAACAGACCTGCTGCCAACTGAGAACTGCTCTTGTCAAATCAGATCACACGTCACTCAGAACAATACTACTTCCATCCCTCCCCTCCATCCTGTACTTGTAAAATACCTGATGATTTTCAAGCATGTTCACAAATACTACTTCAGTGATTGTCACAAACAAAATCCCCGTGGGTTCTGTCGGGTATTAGTATTTTCATCTAGGAATTTTTAAAAGTTAATGCTGAAGTTCAAGAGATCTAAGAGCATAAAAGCAGTATTATTTGTATATTTTAAGTGATATGCCACTAAGCTTATATATACATAGAATATCTCTTGAACAAAATGTAAGAAAATGGAATGGTTACTACAGCAAAGGAACTAGGGGTCAGGAATGGAAATGAGGCTTTCTTTTTTGTGTTAGCTTTTCTGTAATTTTACACTATTGTATATATAATTTCCTGAAATTAAATGAAAAAGAAAGTTACAATTAGGGAGCAGAAAACCACAATCCAATTCTCTCTCCGTATAATGCTGCCTCCCATGTTGGGTAAACAGGACAGAACAGTTTTCTTTCTCCTGTATCTTGCCACTTATTCCCCATTCCATCACCACCATCCACATGTACGTATACACACACAACTTTCTGTGAGAATTTCCCCATGATTGCCTGGTCAATGCAAATCTGCCAGGAGCTGAGGGTGTGCTGAAAACCAACCAAGTGACAGGGAAATTGAAAATGTGATTTTGGCTTATAGGAAGAGTGATCCTAAATGATACATTTCACTTGGAAAAAAAATTAGCATTTTTGTTCAAATATTTTGAGAAAAATAAGCTAGCACTTCAGCATGAAGGATCAATATTAGAAAGAATGAAGCCCACAAAATCTGCCAGTATAGGGAACGTGGTTCCCTAATACTCTACAGCCTGGCAAGTCACTGACAAAAAGGGAAGAACTTCTTTTCCTGGAGATCAAGGGAGATTTCTTGGCTTGACACAGAGACAGGTTCCCACAAAAAGAAAGGTGAGAGGCTATATGACACAATGGGAAATGTGGCTATGCACATCTAAAGATAAAATATATAAATTAAGCTAATGGAGTACTGGAAGACACTGCCTCTCAGGTCACACTCAACACTGATACCCTGACTCTACAAAGCACAGATGTAGGTAGATCAGTAAGTAGAGAAGGAAAATGCTAACAGAATCCTGACACCAAGAGGCAGTCATTACCACGGACTAAAGTAGGAGACTACCATGGGAACAGAATGCATACTCTTTTAAAATGTATTCAATGGTTCCATGTGAATTATTGAGCACTTGTGTCAGGTACTGAGCTAGGATTTAAGACCACTAAGATGAGTACCCTCGAAAAGTTCACAGCCTATAGGAAACTGGCAAATAATTAAAACACAGTAAGTGCTCTGAGAGTATAGAGACAGGCACATCAAAATCGAATATGCTCAGGACGGTTTTACAAAAGAGGTAATGTTTAAGCTGAATCTCAAAGGGCAATCAGGAGCTCTCTAGGAGTGAAGACAACACATTTCAAGCAGAAGGAATCACATGTGCAAAAGTGCTGAGGTATGAAAGAGCATGGAAATGTCCAGATATTAAAAATATGCTGGGGTTGCCATGCATTAGGATTATAAGAAGAGGGCAGAAATGAGGTAATATAGATAAGCAGACCAAAACGTGATGGCTGTGGCCCATGTGAAGGAGTGTCTTACTGGAATTAAAGAATTGCTGAGGGTTTTTAAACAAGGAAATTATATGATCAAATTTGTTTTGAGAAAGGTGAAACTGTTGGCAGCACTTCCCACTTCTGAAACAGCAGAAGAGCACATTAGCATAACAGGCAGAGTACAAGCTCTAGAGTCAGGAGGACTGGGTTCAAATTCCAGCTCTAATACAGCTGGAATTCCAGCATAATTGAGTCCTGCTTATCTCTACTTGTCATGTACCACCTGTAGGACATGTATGAGTTCATTTAATCCTCATAACAATCCTACAAGGTAGGTAGTAATATTACCTCCATTTTATAGATGGAGACACTGAATCTCAGAGAGGTAAGAAACTCACCCATATGGGCTTCCCTGGTGGCGCAGTGATTGAGAGTCCGCCTGCCGATGCAGGGGACGCGGGTTCGTGCCCCGGTCCGGGAGGATCCCACGTGCTTTGGAGCGGCTGGGCCCGTGAGCCATGGCCGCTGGGGCTGTGCGTCCGGAACCTGTGCCCCGCAACGGGAGACGCTACAACAGTGAGAGGCTCGCATACCGCAAAAAAAAAAAAAAAAAAAAAAGAAACTCACCCATAGCCTTTGAAGTACAATAACAGTAAAAATTTCAAATCATGGCTCTACTACTTACAAACTTATAAATTTGGACAATACTACTATTATGATCATTATTACTAAAAAGTGAAAAAAGTTAGAGAAAGTAAGATTTCAACTATAGGGAAAACAAAGACCACCATTGCCACAGTCAGGCAAGAAATACAGAACTACTGAACTAAGACAATATGAATGGACAGAAAATAAATGAAGAGATATTTAGGAGACATGATCAACATAACAGCCATGTGACAGACTGGGGGATATTAGACATGAAGAAGGAATCAGAGATGACTTCCCAAGTTTCTGGCCTAGATAACTGAATACATGGTGATGTCAGCTGGTAATACAGAGACAACAGAGGTAGCTGCTAGAGATAATGAGTTCTATTTTAGATACGTTGGATTTAAAACGTCTATGGCACATATAGCCTAGTAAGCAGGTGTAAACTTATCACTAGCGCTAGGGAAAAAGATCTGGAAATATAAATTTAGGAAAATTAGTAATTTGGTAAGTGAACACATGGCTATGAATGAAATGGCTCAATGAAAATGTTTTGAGGAAGAAAAGCAGTAGGCCATGGGTAGAACTCCTAAGGCCACCACCATATAAAGAGAGGATGAGGAAGAAGTGTCCATATAGGAAGTAGGATTCAATAAGATTCTGACTTCTCCACCAGGGCTACGCACATCATATCCACTGATCAAAAACAGTTTGTGCTTTGGCAATTACCTGGGTTCACTATGTTCACGGTTACCCTCTCATACTCAACACCCTAGGTCTTTATCCCTTCAGTTCTTCCCCTAATCACTGTAATTAGGCCTCTTTTCCTCCCATGTAGAACCAAGTTATAACCTTCAACTTCTGCTCTACTCTTGGAGTATCCTCCTACCAGTTCTACATGTTGGTCTGTACTGTGCCAACCTGCTAAGCTGGAACTACATAAGGTCTTTTTTATATAATAAATATATTATCATATAAGACTTTGCATGAGGTCTAATTTATATAATAAATCCCTTATCCCATAACTCATAAAGGTTCTGCTCCCCTGATTGAACCATGACTGATATATTCCATCCCCGTTTCCTAATTCTGACCTCCATGCCCCCCCCCACAAGTATTGTGATAAAGAATAGCACAATTTCCAGTATCTCTCTGAAGGTTAGAGACCAAGTGAACCTACAAGAGAAGCAATTACCAAAGCAGGAGCCCTGTTCTAAAGGCTCTTCAAGCCAATAGAATAAAGTTTCAAAATCATTATTATTCTGCATACAAGGTGTCAACACTCTCTATATTAATCTAATATATCTTGTTTTCCTAACCCACCATCTGTCCAGCCGGCCAGCCATTTGTTGTCAAATCAGGCAATGTCCAACACTCAGAGATGTATATAATAATGTCTAGAACTCAAAGATAAGTATGAGTTAGTGGCTGTCCTTTAAGAGTTCAAACCATAGAATCAAGTAATCATAATACAATAAAATGTGTCATATAATATAGATGGTACAAAGTGCTATATCATTTCCTAAACATAGCTCCCTAAATTTTTTTTAATACATTTTCCTCAGTCTTGGATGCTCTCTGTTACACATCAAATTTATAAGTAGCTAGCTAGTATTTTATTAAAAGATGTTCAACATCACAAATAAAGGAATGAAAATTTAAAACAATGAAATGTCATGTTGCCTATCAGATACAAAAATTATATCCCAGCTCATGAACAGGCACTCTTATAACAGGAGAAAAAAAGGATATTATGAAGATAAAAATAAAAACTAATGAAAAAGAAAAAAACTACAAAAGATGAGGGTAAACAAAGTCAATTTCTTTGAAGACTTGTAAGAGACAAAAGGCTGAAGGAGAAGTGATAAGGTACAAATGAATAATACCAATAATACGTTAGAGAAAAAGGGGACAAAATGACTGATACCCTAGAGAATAAACAAATAAGGAACATACTACAAATATTTAGGAGAGTAAATTTGAAAACTTAAATGAAATGGATAAATTACTAAAAAATACAAAATATCAAAACTTAATCAAGAGAAACTTGAATAATTCAATCCAATAAACCTTAAAGAATTTAAATCAGAAGTTAATCTTTCCATAACGAAAATGCCAGGTGCTGATTGATGACTTTATGGGCAAGTTCTACCAAGAAAAAGACAAACGGATTTTATATCATCTTTTCAAATAAACATACAGGAGATATGCTCTTTACTCATTGTATGAGGCTAGCATAACTTTAATACCAAAACCAGACTAGAATAGATTAACAAATAGTGTAGACTCATAAACTAATATCACTTGTGACCCACAGGTATAAAATCTTAAATATTACACAAGTAAATCCAGCGATATAAAAAAAAATACATATCCTGACCAAGTAAGTTTTGTACCAAGTTTTGTAAGTTTTGTACCAAGTTTTGTACTTTTGATTTATTAATCAAAAGCTGAGTACTCGGGCTTCCCTGGTGGTGCAGCGGTTGAGAGTCCGCCTGCCGATGCAGGGGACACGGGTTCGTGCCCCGGTCCGGGAAGATCCCACATGCCGTGGAGTGGCTAGGCCCGTGAGCCACGGACGCTGAGCCTGCGCGTCCGTGAGCCTGTGCTCCGCAACGGGAGAGGCCACAACAGTGAGAGGCCCGCGTACCGCAAAAAAAAAAAAAAAAAAAAGCTGAGTACCCTAATCCACCACACTAACAGATTAAAAGAAAAAAAAGGTCATCTGCCATCTCAATAAATGCAGAAAAAGCATTAGATAAAATGTAATACCTTTTCATCATAAAAATCCAAATAGGCTTGAAATCTAAGATCAGGCATATGTAAAAACTATATAACAAACATCTTATTTAATACTGGAATTTTGAAAATATTTCCTTTACGTATAAGAACAAGACAAGGATGCCTGCAATCATCGCTTGTATTCAGCATACTAGAGATCCTAACTACTGCAGAAAACAAAGAAAATAAAAGGTAAAAGGACTGGAAAGGAAGACACAAAAAAGTTGTTATTTATACACAGCAAACCAAAAGGAATCAACAAATTATTAGAATGAGAGAGTTCTAAAAAGGTGACAGCTATAAAATATATAAAGTCAATTTATATCTATTCCCAAGCACAGTTAGCAAATGTAATTTTAAAAATTATACTATTTACAATAGCATAGAAAACTACGAAGTATCTAGGAATAAATCTAATAAAAGATATATAGGACTTTTCCAGAAAAAGTATACAATTATATTGAAATATACTGAAGACTTAAGTAAATGAAGAAAATCATGAATAAGAAGATTCAATGTTATAAACATGTCTGTTCTTCTTAAATTGATCTATAAATTCAATGCAACCCCAAGCAAAACCCAGAGGAGTTTTTCACGAAAATTTACGGATTCTAAAATGTAAATGGGCCACTGGTTAAGAACAACATGGCCCATTGTTATTCTGATTGGATACTGACTTTTTATAAAATGAGAAGACAATATGGTATTGGAATAGAAATAGACAAATAGATCAGAATAGATCAGAAGAGAAAGCTCAGAAACAGACCTATATACTATATATAAAAAGTTGGTTTAAGACAGACTGGGCTTTAAAGATCAGTGGGCAAAGGATGGATCTTTAATAAAAGGTGCTGGGGCAATTAATTACTCATTAAGAAAAAAAATTATATACCTACATCGTAACACAAGGAAAGGTCATAATGAAAGAAAAGGACAAAATGATAAAAATTCATAAATCAACAGAGGGGATATGTCTTGATGACTTCAGGATAGGGAAGGACTTCTTAAAACACAAACATCACTAGAAGTCTTCCAAATTAATCTGTATCCATTAATGCACTCTCTGGTTATAACCATTCAGTTGGTTAATAATCCTCCCTCATATTTCCCTATTTTTCCACGAGGATATTAAAAGAAACTGTTATAAAATGTATCACTAGAACCTAAAGGAATTGAATATCTAGCTCTCTCTGGTCTTTCACCCTAGTAACACTATTAGAATAGTACTGCTGTCATGTTGGACTATGATAAGGGCCACTCCTAAGGATGACAGAATGGGGAAGTGGAAGGAAGCTGGTTCCCAACAACTTTGTGGAACTGCCATTCCTGCCCTGGGCTGCCTATTGCCAGATTTCTTTTAACTGAGAGAGAAGTAAACTATTTTGCTTAAAGAAAAAAGCGGGGAAGGGGGTATTACTCTAATGGATTGAAGTGATCCTAAAACCAAGAATTCAAGCCTAGAGAGAATGAAGCAGGCCAAACTACACAGTATTTTTTTTCCAAACAAATTTAATTCTGTTCCAGCCCCAAAGAAGGGGAAGCACCTAAATTTTAAAAATAAAAACTGCTCAAAAACTGAGTCATTAAAAAAATTAACCCCCCTCCCTTAGCAATAAATACTGAAATGATATATACACATGAGGCTCAGGAAGGAGGCAAGAACAGGAACCTTGGGGACTCTGTCCCATGACAAGGTCCCAACACTTCTACCAACTCCATGCTCTTTGCCTAAAACATAGAAGAGCAATGGAAGAGGCAGGAGATATACCAGGGACATGTGTGGCCCCAGAGAGAGCTGGAACATAACAGGAAAGAAAGAAGACACAAAGTGTCTTACAGGGCAGAGGAAAGGAAAGTTGTCATCTAAAACGTCCCCCCAATTCCAGCTGCGTCACTGGATCTGGCTGGTGCAGTTGCCGAGTGCCCTTGAGCTTTTCTCCTCGCCTCTACTCCCTCTTTAGCATGCCATCCAAGGAAGGTCATTCACACTGTGGCCTCGATGCCACTGTGGCAGCGG